ATATACATACATATTTCAATAGGACCTTATGCTAAATTGTATAGTGTTTATGTTGAAAATCTGTTCATTATGTACATCAGTATCAGTACTTATGTCAATTTTCACTCTTTTTAAAAGTGATTTGCATTGTTTTGTCACTATACATAAGCAACGTCATGACTAAAATTATTAAACCTTGTGTATCATGGAAATGATAATCATGTAAAGATCTAATAAATGGAAAAAAACGAAAACTTGTAAGACTGATTTTAGAAAAATCAATAAAAAATATGTATCAAAAAATATGCATAAAAATCTTTTGGGCTTATTTGAATCGAATCGTACGTCGCACATTATTGAATCAGTTCTTTTTCATGTCTATCTTTCCCCCATTCGTTAGTGTCTAAGCTAGCGGTCTGACACACTTTACATACTGGTTTTTATTTGTTTGGGTCGTCAGACCAAACAAATAATGGTAGCGAAATTTCAGAGTGTGATGCTGTTAATTGCAAATGCCGAAAGTAGGCCGCTTTTTTTTAAGCGGTTACTTCCCTTTATATGTACACTAACGCCGAAAAAAAAATCAGGGGAGATCACTGCGTAAAGATGGTCAAATGACAGGCGCATTAATTTTCAAGCAAAATAATTCCCGAATGGTCGAAGACTTCAAATATTGTTTTATCCTTTATAGACATACATGCTTATAATAAGCTCCATGATTATTAACATCTGTGTTAAACAACAGTTAGCGTCGAAATAATAAGGGTTACAAACCCTAATTTAGAATAATATGGTTTTCTTCAGGCCTTTTACATATAACTTCACCGTGGCCGAGGGGTCTGGAGTTCAAATCCAGGAATTTCAAATTGTTTAAGTCAAATAAACATTGAATTGAATATTAGTGTTACAATTAGTCTTAAAGCCATTTAACTACAATTAAAATGCTGGAAAGCACTGGTGGCACTCACTATACAAAAACAAATTGGTTTATAATCTCACAACCTTCATCTTTCTGACATTCTGAGACCCAAACAAATTCAGCGCCTTCTGTGCTTTGATTGCATACTGTCAAACCGTTGGAAAATGACATCGCACGTCAAAAATTATCTCGATGTCTTTTTGACAAGTCTAATTAGTCGGATTATATCATCCGTAAGCTGTAAGCGGTGCACCACAGCTGGTAGATTCTTGTAATATTTTTTACCTGTATGGTTAAGGTATGTGTAAACCCTAACCTCATCTTTATTACCATTTTTTTAGAAGTTCTGTATTTTTTTATCATTCTTTGCCGATCGTGGAAAAGCATTCGACACTGGATAAATTTAACTTTGGCAAAGATCTTATAAAATGGGTTAAATTTTTTTTTACACTAATATATCAGTATAGGCCTACTTATTAATAATGAAATTTTTTCGGAGTCTTTTAACATAGAAAGGGGTGTTCGTCAGGGATGTCCATTATCATCTTCATTATTGATTTTATGTATTTAAAATATCATTAAATTTCATAGCAAAAGATAGCGAAATTAAAGGGGTAGAAATCGCGAATAAAAAAATAAAACAATCCTTTTTTGCAGATGATGCTACATTTGTAAATGCTGGATCAGTGAAAATCTTGTATATGTTATAACAGAATTTAGCAAATTCTCTGGATTAAAACTTAATAAAAGAAAATTCCACAATTCTATGAGTGGGATCGCTTACAATAAGTGATGTAGAACTAAGTAAAATATCAATTGGACATCTGATTCAGCAAAAAAATGTAGGTATTCTATTCCCGTCTAATTACAACTGAATTTTAGAACAAAAACTTTTCTCAATAGCTTGAAACAATTGCAACACAGAAAACTTACCCCTATGGGTAAAGTGATGGTAATAAAACATTTGCCTTACCTAAACAGTAATATCCATTTTCAATTTTAGAAAACCCATCAAATTACAAGATATAAGAAATAATTTAAGCAATGTTTCTTTTTCTATGGGATGACAAGCAAGAAAAAAAAATCAAACGTAAAACATAAAAAACTTAATGTTAAAAATGTACGTGGTTTAAAATGATGGATATTTATTCTTTTTAAATGCAGTAAAGGCAAATTGGGTCAAACGATATCTAAATGAGGACAATAAAAGATTATGGAAACATTTTATAGATATGATATAAAAATAACCTTAAATATGATTGTAATCTTTCGAACTCACATCGATAAGCTATTTCGTCATAAATCATTTATTAACAATGTGCTTCCGTCATGTTCATATACAACAAGAACACATTACTAGAAAAGAAAACCTTAAACATATAATATGGAATAACTCGAAAATCAAAATTGACAATAAATTGGTGTAACGTTTCAATAAAACATGGCATATAAAACATGACATAATGTAGGTATTCTATATCTAGAATATATATGATTATATGAAAAAAGAACTTTACAAACTTGATTATCTGAAAAATATCTATGGTATGGAAAACTACAGCGAGTTTTTAAAATATTACATGTTTGTGAATAATATACCAAAAGGATATCTTGATAATTTGAAATCTACAAGAAATTATAACGAATTTCAAGAAACTCCCCTTAATAAAATTAAAAAATTAAAATCTGTAAATAAGCTTTTATATAATATTCAACTTGAAAATGATGAAAGGTTCAAAATTACAAATGAAGAGAAATGGGGAAAAGAAATATATGGTTCCATTAAAAATACTACGGATGTGTAATTAAGAAATGTTCAATACATTTTTTTTCATAGACAGATTCCAACTAATTGATGTTATTTAAATAAGTAAATTATAATCATTGTAATTTAAATCTATGTGATTTTTGTGATAGCAATTTAGAAACGCTTTATCATCTTTTTTTGTGAATGAACTATTATTCAAATTTATGGTGGAAATTACATTTTTTTTTCTCTTATCAATCAATATTGATTTCTCATATAATTTAGAAACAGTGTTTTTGGAGAGCTGAATAAAACCATATTAACAGTACTTTAGTAAATCATATCATCATACTTATCCTTAAAATGAAAAACCAAAAGCATCGACCAACTTTCGATACTTTTTAAAAACTTTTTTGCGATAAAGAATACAAATTAAAGAGAAAATTTCTTTTCTTAATGATAAAGTTGAATCACACAAACAAAAATGGAGTATCTTGTTTAACGCTCTAATCAACAAACCAACAGTAAGGGAAAACTTAAAAAATTCAAAACCACAAAACGTAAGAAAAATAATTGAAACTAGCTCGCTTATTCCTTTTCTGGGGAGTTTTGTTTCTGTCTCTAACCAACAAACCAACAGTAAGGGAAAACTTAATAAATTCAAAACCACAAAACGTAAGACTAGCTTGTATATTCCTTTTTTTGTGTTTTTGTTTCTGTTTTTTAATGTATATATAAGTAAGTAAACAAGTACCTTTTGAATGTGTGTATGCATGCTTGTGTATGTATATTTCTCTGACTTCTCCTTTGTTGTTTATATCATTTAACAAATAATGTTAACTGTTTTTGAATTTACTTTAAATTCTCTCTCGCTCCCGCTCTCTCTTTTCTCCAAGTAAGTTTATATGTTTTTGAACATACTTTAATTTTTCAGTTTTTTTGGCTTGCAGCCACGGCTGCAAGCCATTTCATATGGAAAACTTGTTCCGGTTTTTCGTCACTCTTCGGATTAATGATAATAGCCGATGTAGTTCCGATTGCAATCGTGACAATTCGGGCGATTCCGTCATACTGCAGAATCAATCGAATGCTGCGGAATCAGAATATTACGGAAATCTAAGCTATTTTAGTTACCTCGGTAATCCCAGTTTGTTTATATAAATAGGATTCGTATTTTTACTTGATTTATTGATTTAAACCGTAATATATTATAAACGAAATTGTTCCGTTTCATTTCTTTTTCAAGACGCAATTGTTAGTTTCTGTTATAATTGTTTTTTGTCTGTATTAGTTTTATACAATAGAGGATGTTGACTGTAGTAGTATTCCGTCTTCAAAGGGTGGTCCAATTCACACAGAATATTAGTGCATGATCGAGTTATATTTAGATCTATTGAATTTGGTGAGGTAATCTAAAAATAGTCCATGCAAATCATTAACCTTACCACGTGATGATCTATAGATAGCGATGCTTATTAATTGGTACCACGTAACGAAGTGGAAATGAAATGTGCACACTTGTTTCCTTTCAGTATGATAGATAGATCTCCACGTTAGTATTTTTACGATTGATTATTTTCTTTGTTAGTTTTATACAATAGAGAATAGATTTCAAATCGTTTTGACAAAAATATTCGTTTTTACAAAAATAAAAACAACTAAATATGTTGGGATGAAGGCACAACTGTGCAAGCCTTTCCTTTTAAAAGGAAACTTTATTTATTTTTCGAAATGAACGAATATACCGGTATGGTAAAAATATGGAATGACCGGGTGCTTTTTACTTTCTTTTGACAATATAAATATATTTTGTATGTTAACGAGTATGTTTGTATCGTTATACTTTAAATATGAAATAAATGAAAAATAAAATATAGAAAAATTATTACTGTATGTTTAATGTAAATATAATTCACTAACCGCAACCAATTTTTCAGAAGTTCTTTACAATAAATTCATTTATGAATCCACCTCCGTAAGCTCAGATGGTTATATTTGACTTGAGGGGAAAAGAAACAACAGAAGTTATAGTTGAATTGAAAATTGTCATTTTAATGATAAAATGACGATAAAGTTAACATATAATATTGCATAAAAAATACAATGTGACTAGAAAGAATTCAACTACATAAAATGTTTTCCTTGAAAGACAAAGTTGGAGGAAAGAACCGCCAACAATATTATGCATGTTAAATATAGTATCAATAAAACAAATTTATGAAAACTAATCTAAACAATCCACCATAATGAATGTACGAATGTACCTTGCAGATTGGCATAACAATTAAACATTATAAAAGGCAAAATTATCCTAAAAATTGGGTGGGAGGTTAGTTTATGTTGCATAAATTAGTGCAATGTAATATATACACAATGTGAATTTTACACTATGGTCAAACTACACTAAATATGTAATGACATGGAAATTATCCCTGCCGGGATACTACGGTATCCATAAAGCTATTTATTCTTCAAATAAATTATTATATACTGTTTTAATTTTGTTTAGTTTGCAGATTGAAAGTGAGAAATCATTGCAGTACAGAGATGGAAAGCTTGCAGCGGTTAAGAGTTGTTGTGAACAATCCAAATAAATCCTTTATAGTAAGTTTTTAAACGAATTGTTTATGTTATTAGTTCTTCGTTTTCAATATTTAACACAGTAGATAGTTTCAACAAAAACATGACAAAATTTAAACAATACTTTTTTGTTGCAGATTTATAGTTTATATTATAGATATGGCAATATATATATATATATATATAATTATAGTGTGAAAACCATTATTCAGCATACATATATACAAAACAGGACTTAAAAAAATGATCAAGATAACGGAATGTCGGGTAAAGCGATGTCGAAATAACGAAAAATTGAGAAAAGCGGTGTTGAGATAACGACAGTTTACTGTACAAATACTTAACTTTTCAGATAGGAGGCGCTATGTTGCTCATTCAAGGTGCATTGAGCATTGCATTTAGCAGGTTGGAAACTTCTGGTGTTGACATGATAGAATTAGTTAATCAAGGAAAGCTGATGTGTTGTCTAGCTGTATTACAGCTGATCATAGGGAGTATCTGCTTATATATTACCATTGACTTCCGAAGTTACATACCCCATTTAGCGTATGTAAGTAACTATTCACAACCGTTCGAATTGTTGATAATAATACAGACCTCACATATATCAGAAGATTCTGGTTCACATATAAGCTACTGTAGATCACCTGGTGATATATAACACCAGGAATGGTTCGTGATGACAAAATCTAAGCAAAAGAAGCATAAATAAAAACGACTGTTTTCGGTAATTCCGCGTATTGTTATTTGTCTTTCGGGCAAAGAAAACAGTGTTATTTTCATTTTTATATTGAAATTATTTGGGACGTCATTGCATTCAGCTATTTGTGCATGGCGATCTGGACCTAGTAGCAATGTGAATAAAACATGTATCTGGTGAAAATCATCGGTTCATATTGTTAAATCTGACAATGAAGAAACAATGAAAAGTGTACCTACTCCAAGTCTCTTCATTCAACCAATAACTGTGTTGGAATAAATGAACCCAAAGGACTAGAAGACATAAGATGATTTATCTCTGTCTTTCTACTATGCCTTATTATTAACATATCCACCTTAATATTTGACATATAATTATAATATTTAATAAATCTTAACTCTAAAATTTTCTATTTTCATCTTTAGATTGTTAGAATGTAATTTTCATCTTTCTTCAAATCTTTGTCAATAAAAAAGCTCATTTTTTAAAAAATATTTCCGCCATGTCTATTAAAAGAAACATATAATTTACAGTAATGAATTATATATTAGGAAAAGACAAGCATTGTATGCCTTTTTCATCTTTGTATTTTGTTAGAAACCATTGTATGTTATATATTTTTGTGCAAGTGTTTGAAATTTTGAAATAAGAATATGAAAAATTTAGACGAAATGATGCAAAATATTACTTATCACTCTTATCTAATACTGTATATATATATTTTTTTTCTTTTTCTATTTTCCCAGTGTCTTTGGAATGCATTTGTGATAAAAGTTGTGCTGCAACATTCAAATGAGATTTTTGAATACGTGGAGGTATGATTAATAGGAATATTTTGACATTGTATAGTAGTACATTGAATTATCTCAATCTTGTCATCTAGTTTGTTTTGTTAACACCCAAATTATTAATTATATCATAAATGTACTTTTTGAAAATGTATCATACTTAAATCGTATACTAATACATGCACAGTGCGTCCCCATTTGCTTCACTGCATAGACAATCAAATCACTGTCAGGCGTTTGACTGTTATTAAATTCCAAACCATGTTAATGCATTACTACCTAAGCTTTGAAGAGAATTTAAATAGGCTACAAATACTGTCAAGTTGTCAACTGTCAAACTGCATTAAAAAGGGTTGTACGTGGGTCCAAACCCCATTATCTAAATAATGTTAGCTAAATGTTATTAGTTTCTTTACAAATATTAACAGGAAAACATTTCCATAAGGATGATATAAAGATAATTAAGAGCTCCATTCAAGTTTTTTATCAGAACTTTCCAGGCCACCAGATATGTAGGTCAATGTCACTAATTTATACTTACATTTATCAAGTGAGGGATATTAATTGAAACAATATGCTCATAATTACTATATTTGTAGGAATGGATGACGAAAACACTGTACGTTGCGCAGCTTCTGTTAAACATCACTGGGGTAAGCTTCCTGTTTTTAACGTAAAAGAACAAAGTTATTTACCTGGAAGACTGTGTCAATTCGTGTAAATTGAATGTCACTTACATTGAAACACGTGATACTTTCATTGAACCACGTGACAATTTACATTGACCCTTGTATCACTTACATTGAACCAAGTGTCAAGTATAAATGAATCACACGTCACTTGCATTGAACCGCATATAATGGCGTGTGTAGGACCTAGTGTACAACATGGACATAGTATTCATTTAATACTTATGTGTTCAAAAAATAGATTGACATGCACATAAACACCATGAGCAAAGTCTATGGTAAACTCCTAGGCCATTCCGTTAGAGTAAACAATGCAGTCAGCTAATGCACAATATGCTAATTGTTGTACAAATTTTGTATACAATGAATACTTTCAAAGAAAAAATCTAACAAGTCCGACGCAAAGTTTCAATAATGTTAGAGAACATGGAATATTACAATTCATATCGTTTCAATGCTAAAGTAACGATAATTTGACGTCTTGCATTTGTCCGAAAGGTTTTTTAAAGCGCGTGGGGATTTTTTAAGGAGCAAGCGGGGTTAAAGAGAAAATATTAGAAATGTAAGACAAACTTTCTGTTGTGACGTGGTTTGTTTATGGCATAGACTGTGTTATGTTGTTTTTATGTTTTATTTTTTGTCATTAGTCTTCAGTGAATGTGCAGTTTAGTAACATAATCATTTGATCACACACGATAGTATATATATCTAAGTAGCTTATTGCATGTATAGCTTGATCTGGCTTCATTTTAATCACGGATAACCAAATATTGCTAGGCCACACCAACGTCCGATGCAGCGTATCTGTTTTGTAGGACTAGAAGATCGTTTTCTAACAAGCTTAAAAGTCACCCAGTTTAACAAATGAGGAGTAGTCTTATTAATATTACGGGTTGCAACAAGGGGTCAAAACAAAAGTTATTTTGTTTACATACGTAAAAGCAAAATCCCACTTGAATTTCGGAACGAATGAAATTCACTAAAATAATTTCATGGTACCTTATTTCAAGGGAATGTGTTGGGTTTCTTACGATGTTGTAGTATTTGTTTTTCTTTGTTTTTTTTTCTTCTTCTTTTTTGTTTGTTTGATATGTTATAGTTTACGGAGCAATAAAACAACCATGTATCGAAAGATTATGTAGATTTTTTTCAGGAACCGAAAGTGACCCCATTTATTGCCTCTGTCGCATGACTATTTAAGGGTCGGAGGTCCATCTTTGATGGTAAACTAATGATACTAATGGGGTTAGCAAGGAGGCTTGACGATAGAATAAATAGACATACGAAAAATGGTGATTATTTACAAAAGAAAACAACAATATAACACAACAAAAACATCAAAGACAGATACTTTGCGGCCAATGAACGTTTAAAAATACTACACACAGGAATTTATTCTTCCATGTATGCTTAAACAAAGCTAGGTATAAAAACTGAAAACAAAGGTCGCTCCTAGCATCAACATACGAAAAAGTATTTTGATGATTCACATTTATCAATATCAGATTGGAAACAAAAGTTTTGGATAGGATTTTATTATATTATGATTAATGACATATATTTAAAATAGTATGCCAGTCTTTTTTTTAAATTGGTCAAGATTTCCACATTGGATAGCATTTTCTTCATTTACCTTTAGAACATATGAAATATACTTTATAGCACCAGCAAAAGATAGCATTGTTTTATTAGTTTTACATTCAGAAATATATCTTTTGACATATTGTTTACAACATTTATTGTATTGTTTCCTTTAGTTTTACCAAAAAGCATAGTTTCTTTATGCAAGTTTGGCATCTTTAGTTTATCTATACAAATTTCTTGTATTACTTTATTGCTGTGAATGCATTCCTAAAAGATATGTTCTATAGATTCATCAAGAAGATTACAAAGACTACATAAGGGACTGCTAATATATTTCATTTTGAACAAAAGATTATTTGTACGCGAAGGATTCGGCAACATTATGAATAGATGGTTTAGTTGTGAGATATGTATTGGTTTATATTACTGTTAATTTACCGATTGGAGTCAAAGCTCTTCTATTCCATTGTTTAATCATTTTTTCTATATTGGATATTTTTTCTTTAAAGTTAAGATCTATCTTTTTTTCAAGATGCAACATGAAATGTTATACCAAGCATTTTGAAACTAGTTTCGTTCCAATTCAGTTTCCATATTGTTTTTATGCTATCACAGCTGTACTTTTTAATGCCTATCCAAACAACCTTTGTCTTTTCAAAGTTCACACCGAGTCCCGAGATCAAGAGCGGCATTTAAAGATTGTGTTGTTCTGTCTAACATTACAGTGGTATCATCAACAAACTTTTATGTAAATGTTAAGTCTGTTTAATTTGTATTCCTTTAATATTTTCTACGGATTTCAACTTAAGGGAAAGAACTTCTGCACATAATATAAATATATAACATGAAAGAGGGTCGCCTTGACGACAGCCTCTCTGTACATTGATAAATTTGGATAATAATCCACATTGACAAACAGCTGATGTTGCATTTACAAACCATTTTTTAATTGATGCACCAAAATTTGAAAAAGATAAAGTATTTTGTACAAAATCCCAAGATAGCGAATCGAAAGCTTTTTCAAAGTCAATCAGAAGAAGTAATACAGGAATATCATTTTCTTCTGTATAATTCATAATATCATATATCAGTTTAACATTTTCTCCGATATATCTTCCATTTATTAAAAAACTGAATGGATGGATGGATGGATGGATGGATGGATGGATATCTATCTATCTATCTATCTATCTATCTATCTATCTATCTATCTATCTATCTATCTATCTATCTATCTATCTATCTATCTATCTATCTATCTATCTATCTATCTATCTATCTATCTATCTATCTAATCTATCTATCTATCTATCTATCTATCTATCTATCTATCTATCTATCTATCTATCTATCTATCTATCTATCTATCTATCTATCTATCCTATCTATCTATCTATCTATCTATTCTATCTATCTATCTATCTATCTATCTATCTATCTATCTATCTATCTATCTATCTATCTATCTATCTATCTATCTATCTATCTATCTATCTATCTATCTATCTATCTATCTATCTATTCTATCTATCTATCTATCTATCTATCTATCCTATCTATCTATCTATCTATCTATCTATCTATCTATCTATCTATCCATCCATCCATCCATCCATCCATCCATCCCATCCATCCATCCATCCATCCATCCATCCATCCAATCATCCATCCATCATCCATCCATCCATCCATCCATCCATCCATCCATCCATCCATCCATCCATCCATCCATCCACATCCATCCATCCATCCATCCATCCATCCATCCATCCATCCATCCATCCAATTCCATCCATCCATCCATCCATCCATCCATCCATCCATCCATCCATCCATCCATCCATCCATCCACCATCCATCCATCCAATCCAATCCAATCCAATCCAATCCAATCCAATCCAATCCAATCCATCCATCCATCCATCCATCCATCCATCCATCCATCCATCCTACTCTATCTAACTATCCATCACCTCATTTATTGCTTCAAGATATTTTAGATCTTTAAAAAGATAATTATTATGTTTCCAAAGACCTTAACCATGTTTAAAGTCATCAAATTTCAATTTCAGTGTTATAATAGAGTGTTCTGATTGGAAACTTGCATAAATACTATGTTGCTCTACAAATTGCTGCATAGCTTCAGATATTAAAAAGTATAATATAATCTTGCCTGTTATGTAGATTTAATTACAATTTACGATATACCATATGTCCTAATATCTATGTTATTCTTTTTAGGTGATGGTATTACAGTTGTATCACCAGTATGTCGCATTTTACACAGGATCCAGATAAAAAAGAGGAATGAAAGAAAACCTCATCCAATATAAAAGACTAACTGTCTAATACTATTTTCTTATTTTTGCTCTTGAATTTGAATTTTATTGCTTTATTTTGGAAAAATTAACTTATAGCTTTATCACTAAATTACTTACACCAGCTTATTGTGTTGTGCATATTTCATTAACAAGATTGAATACATTTTCTATTTCATTGTAAACCTGATCACTGACAAGTTTTGAAGAACGGTTATAGGCTCTTTGATTAAGCTTCAGAAATGGGTACATCTTTCATCTTTAGAAAAGGCAAACTTTTAATATACATTTTATAATATTTGAAAAAAAGGAAAAAAGCATATCAACTAGGCGGGAAAAAGTAGTGCTGATTGGGAAACAAGTGTCAAATCAGTAAAATGTAAACGATGTTATAATTTGACTTCATATACTGTATGTATTGCAAAAAGCAAACGAAGCAAAAGATTGTCAATGAGCTAGAATACATGTACCCAAAATAAAATGTGTTTCACTACATAATATTTATGGGTTTTTATGGCTGAAAAAGAATTCAATTTGTAGAAAAAATCAAATACTGCTGTAAAACAAGACATATCCAGTTTCAAAAAATGTTTTAAAAATTTGATTATGTTTTGATGGAGACATAAGTTGAAATATTACCTTAGGTGAACTCGACGTTAACCATTTTACTTTCGTTTTGATGTTTTAAGGGGCTATTTCCGGTGAACGCTGTACAACAGTATAATACTAGCAATCGATCATTACAGAGATATAATCGCTCGTTATCTCCCTTTAAATGTAATCATTGCATAAAATTGAATGACAAAGATGTAAAACAGATATGTTGTAGCCTAACTTTAAATCTTTTTACAATACGATTTCTCCATAAAAACGGATGCGCATTTCGCGCATGCGCACCCTTAATATTAAGTGAAATGTTATACTTCTTTAGCTAACGATATAATGAATTCTTGAAAAAGGTAACTTTTTAACTGTTACATGCTTCTTAAATCGTTGTCTTCAATTATTAAACAGTCCAATAGCCGATCAATAAGCTACAAGATCATTCATCTATGAGGATACAGCACAACTGCTAAATAGACTATGACTGACCGACGGACTGAGAAACGAAAGGTAACACCTTGACTGAGATTAGGTAACGGGGGCAAGTAACGAAAAACAGTGTTACATTCAGAGAGCCGCAAATACTAAACATAATGATACTGGATTAAACTAGTTCCCCAAGTATGATGAGAAAGGAAAATAAAATAACCTAATTTTAGTACAAAAGAAAGTGCATAAATAATATGAACATGAAATCGAACCAGAACAAAAATTACAACTTGAAAATCATTTAGCTTCCTTTTTGCAAATTTTATCTTAAAAATTGTACATGCTTGCATGCGGATGTTGTTAAATGATACATGTTTACTTTCTCACAATACCTGTAATTATAATAATTTGAATTGAAAAAGATACTTGTTATTATTTTTGGTGACGAATATCGAAGATTTTATATGACAAAAAAACCCACAGTTTCCATGGTATTAAACCACTCTATAGCAATAAGAATCAGGGTGACACGACCGGCATTTTTCCCTATTGAACATAGAACAACCGAAAGTGTGTGTTATTATGCAATAAAGCACAGGCGCTAGTCAGTAGTCACATAATCAAAAATTTTACATAATCGGTCTATATAATTATGTATATAAAGATATAAGGCCCCCAACGAAACAAAAACATCATGCGAAACAAACAAGAACAATGCTGAAAGAAACGACCAGATCACGGTTATCTCTTTCTGGTCGCCATCTGAAAGGATCAATCCAAGCGTTAAAGCTTTTTATTTCATTAAAATTCTTCAATTAGCAAAGAAATGAGTAAAAGTTTCAGAAAATGCAAATATTTTCAATCCATGTCGTTTTCGACGTCCAATCTAATCATGTATACAAACACGATTTCTGGTCGATTTCTACGAAATAAATAGAAAACATCTAAAATTTCCTCATAAAATTCATAAACAAACTCTTTTTCTATCAATCTGCGAAGTCTAAATTGAACTAGAGCCCTCTTTGTACGCAAATATTTAAAAAAATATTGGTTGTAGAAGCGGAGGTCAAGTAAAGTGCGCCATTTGGAATTTGAAGTGACAGATAAATGAAGCAAAGAAATAGTATTATACGATTGGTCAATAGTATTCCGGTAATTATCTTAACCAATCAAATCCTTATATAATATTCAGAGCGGAACAGTATATACATGCGCTATACATGGCGATAAAATACTGTCACAAGCGAGATCCTTGTGTATTTTAAATGAATTACGCACGAAGAGGGCATTTGATTAGTGAAGACTTCGCAGATCGATAGGAAAAGAGTTTGTTTATGGAACGTACGTGGAAATTCTAGCCGTTTTTTGTTTTTTTCGTAAAAATCGATCAGAAATCGTGTTTGTATACATGAATGGACTGGACGTCGAAAACGACATGAATTGAAAATAATGGCATTTTGCGACACTTTTCCCAATTTCTTTGCTATTTGAGGGATTTTAATGAAATAAAAAGCGTTGGCACTTGGATTGATCCTTTCAGATGGCGACCAGAAAGAGATAACCGTGATCTGGTCGTTTATTGCAGCAGTGTTCTTGTTTGTTCTGCATGATGTTTTTGTTTCGTTGGGGGTCTTATATCTTTATATACATATATAGACCGATTATGTAAAATTTTTGATTATGTGACTAGCGCCTGTGCAATAAAGTTACTGTTTGACGTGCAATATTTAGACATGTGACGTAATCATTATACACGTGACGTAACCACTAAAAATGTGACGCGCTGAAAATAAGTACGGAAACAAATCAGGTGCAATTTAGCTAAATATCAGGTATAGCAACATTTATTTGATAATGTCGTGTTAGAATCGAGATCGGTGAATTTATTGCTTGATAACATCACTGTTTGCCGTTCGGATGCCCTCGTGATATAATTCCTCGCATCCGAACTCCAAACAGTGATGCTATTGAGCGATAAAATCACTGTTTGGGATATATTATTTCTTACGCAAAATGTACAAAGAAAGACACCCGTTAAATGTTTTGATCCCGTAAATAGCACTATGTGTAATTGTGTGTGAAAATAAGTTTATAATTCTGCAGGTTTGTAACGTCGCTTTTCATTGGACAATCTTGACGTTTATATAGTTTTATATATACATGGATTCTGTCATTTTACGAAGAAATATAATTTAATTCTTTAAAAAGGATGTTTGATGTATTACAAATTCATTCTAAAGATTCCTAATTATGTAAACAAGCGCTGATATAGGGGCATATAACCTGCCAAAATATTTATAGCTCATTATATACATGTATAATTTATCACAATATCGATCTATTCTATATCTGTTGTAAATTTGAAACCCCACTTGAGATACATGTTAAAGAAAAAACGGAATATTGATAACATAAATCATAAGTATCGTTTTTTAACAAAGAAGGTAAATAACGACAGTTTACGTATGATTTAAAGGCGATTTCTTTTTTTTTTCGCTTAAGCAGTTTCTTTATTATATTATACAGGGGCATACCTCGGCTTATTTTGAGTGAAGGCCAAGTGCAAGTCCTTGACCGAAAGGTCGCCAGACAGCTATATCAAATGTAACTCTGTGCAATAACTAGGGGTTTAGGGGATATCTAAGCTAATTGTACTACTATTGTCTTTATCTATAGTTATGAAAATAACATCAAGTACTGAAGGTAAGAGACTGATGTGTACAATGTTTTAAATAGTTATTTACTATTAGAAAAACAAAACAAAGTCAGATGTCTCTATTGTAATACATATTGGTTTTATTTCCTTATTAACGATTCTTTTCTTATTATTTTCTTTTGTTTCATCATACATGGCATAACATAACATGAGATATAATCAAGGACAGTATGCTTTAAAATGGTCTGTTTGACTTTAATATACAATGTACAAACATTACAACTTCAATGTTATAGTGTAACGAAAAGTTATCGTATTCAGTTCTTAAATGTAGAACCGCACGATCATTTAGGTCCCCTAAATATTTTTTTTTAAATATTTCATTGCGGAGTTAAATGCCTCACGCACATAAAAGCATATTGGTAACTCAATAAAATAATACAGTAGAAACAACTTTCTGTAGTAATATATTTTGTTAATACATTCCCTTTTAACGGTCAAATAAACAAAAGTTTGCAATGGTTCGCTGCAAAGATCTGTTTCATAGGGCCCAAACTATTCTACGCAATTTGAAATTGATTTAAAATGAATGAATGGTACCAACTTAGAAATAATATACTGATTTATAGCTACAAGATTAGATATAAAAAAACATTCCATACCCATTGTGCTGCAAACGCAGACAAACGCAGACAAGATCTTAATTTTTCATATAGATCTAGATGTAAAAAATGAATAGTCTATATGTTTAGAGTCCCTTTATCTATATATTGATTTATAACAAAATTTATAATGGTCTGATTGAAAATCAAAACTTTTTTTTTCATTCTGTTATCTTTTTATTGACATTGAGGATATTGATTACTTCACACGACCGTCTGCTAAAATTTATGTAAAATAAAAAAAAAAACATTCTGAACATCTTGTCGATTATTCATAATCACATTCCATATATGAACCGAGAAGTTGCGATTGGTAAAATTAAAGGCAGTTTAACTTCAATAAATAGCAATCTAGTTCACCTTTCTCTGAAAAACAATCTGATACTGAACCGGTATTATTGAAAAACTTCCTGGATTATATAGTATCGTGCAGCGGGACATCATGACTTCCCTTGTTAAGAAATAATATGCTATCATTTGTCCCTTTTCATAAGTCCTATTTTATATTTCTATTTCTTAAAAACTTCTCTCTTCGCCCTCGGTACGCGCAAGTCATTGAGAAGGCACAGGACATCGGTAGATGAATGAAGAACCAGTGCTACGTGTAAGACGGCAAGTTCGCCCTTTGCTTGGCACACACAGCCCTTTTGAGGGCTACCTCATTTCATTATTGCCTCAGGTTATTGTACATTTAGATTCTCATTGACCTCTGTACAGTGACCTACTTTTGGATCAAAATCTATATCTTGGGCTAACACTCCGTGGAAATTGCAAGGAGGTAAATTATCACCACTTTGTGCTTTTAAGGACATGGCTGGTGACATGTCCGGTGTCCATACTCTACAGGGAAAGTTGCTTTTTGTGCCTTACCGGGCGGATGGACCCTCATTAAACATAAACCATAAATTATACATACATACATACAACCAGAAAAATGAAGTTCTGACTTAATGTTTTTCCACTGATGCTATCTGATAAGATAATATAAGAACAATTTGAGTTTGAGTAACGTATGTTACTCAAACATAGATCATGAAACGTCTCGAAATCCAAATAAAAAATATATTAATAATTAATTAAAGTTGGATTCATAAATCGTATCAAAAGTATTTTTTTAGTCTTTACAAGAGTTAGATAACAATAAAAGTAATGATTATAAAACTTTGAAACAAATAGATAATTATATGGTGTACCACCTTTAGATATACGGACGTATTTGTAATTCTTATGCAATACTAATGATTTATATATGATACATAAAAAATGCAATATCGTAGTTCCACGTTAAGGAAGTGAAAAGGTACGAGTTTCTTGTATTTATCACATTTATCATTATTTATATTTACTTCTCCTTAAATACACTTACTAATTTTGTCAAGAATGAATACGATTTCATGTCGTTTTTTTAATATATCACAACACTATCAATTAAATTTAAAACCAAAATAGATTATCAAAACACCAATATTTGTCGTGTCGCGAAGTCGCCATACAATAAAAAAAAGTTGTCTTTATTTCTAAAATATTGTAAACAAGTTATTGGTCCAGACTTACAGCAAATGCTACAAAAATCTAGCAAGAAAGAAAATTATACAGATATAAAAAGAAAAAAGACATAAAAAGACATAAAAGATATAATTTTTTAGAGACTTGATGATAAAAGTAGTGACATTCGGGGGGGGGGGGGCGGGTCGGAAAACGAAAATGTGTTACGTTGTTTTCAGTTGCCGCCGTTACAACCAGAATGCATCAATGCTATACTTAGAGAGACAGTTATAAAAATAAACAAAATAACAGACACGTAAATACATAATGAGAAAAAAAGAATGTAGTAATCTTTAACTAAAACAAACAAGGGCCATCAGTGATGACATGTGTCGCCTCATGATGGCAAATTGCAGCTACTGAAATATTATATTTGTTTCTTCTTAAATACAATTACTAATTGTGTCAAAAAAACCCCAAACAATTTCATGTTTTGTTTACAAAAGTTACAAGATGATCAAAAACATCGAAATTTGTTGTGTTGCGAAGACGGTAAAGGTTAAAAAATGTCCTTTTTTCTGAAATATTGTACACAACTTATTGGTCCAGACTTACAGCAAGAGACCCAAAATTCATAACCAGGACAAGACACATTTTTTATCAAGGCCCATAACTCGGTTGAAAATCCTTCAACCGGAAAACCCGTGTAATATGTGCAATAACTTGAGCTACCGATCAATCCATTAAAGTTTCATCAAAATTGCATTAGTGGTATAAGAGGAGTAGTCCGGACTAATTTAAAAAAATAAAATCATTAAAAGGAAATTACTCTGACAATAATCATAAAATCGAAAAATGTTGAACAGATTTTTAATTAAGAGTCATAACTCTGTCAAAAATGGAAAAATGAAAAGTGGAAAACCTGTGTTAATTGTGCAAGTTCGTGAGCTACTTCTCAACCACGTAAAAATTTAATGAAATTTCATTAGTGGTATAAATGGAGTATTCCGGACAATCTTTATTAAAACATTTTTATTTAAGGGCCATATCTGCTCCAAAATCATTGAGACAGAAAACCCGTGTAAATGCGCAAGTTTTTGAGTTACCAATAATTAATCCTGTAAAGTTTCAATAAAATTGCATTACTTGTATGAAATGAGTAGTCCAGGCAAACTTTGAAAATAAAAATAATGAAAGGGCCATAACTCTGAAGAAAAGCATTAAACCAAAATGCCAATGATATGTACAACTTCACTTGATACTGATCATTCCTATAAAGTTTGGATGAAATTGCATCAGTAGTTTCTAAGAAGTAGTTCGGACAATATTCTTTGTAGCTGGCAACACACAAAACACCCTTTTTATTAAAGTGTCATAACTTCGCCAAAATCTTTTAAGCGTAAAACCCGTGTAATATGCGAATGTACTTGAGCTCCAGATAAATCCTGTAAAGTTTCATTGAAATTGCTTCAGTCGTATAGGATTAGTAGACCGGACAAATTTTAACAACAAACATCTTAAAAGGACACTACTCTGACAAAATGCACAATTAAACTTCTGTAAAGTTTGAAAGAAACTGCACCAGCACTTCCTATACAATATCTTGTCCATGTTTATTTTTTTAAATTTTGCAGCAAAGAGACTTCTCGACAAATCTCGAGCAAAAAATGAATAAAAAGAATTAAAACATAATTTACAGATGAAGTGGCAGATTTATGGTTGTGCAATTTTTACTTTAGAGTACTACATGATGCTTGGGTAAATTTCTGTGTGATGGCAAAAAAGATCGCAATCAAAATTTGACAACAACTTTCATTAAATTGAATCGACTCATACGTTTGACTGTACGCACACTATTGAATCAGTTCTTTTTCATATCTTGTATAATTACTGCCAACCAATTAGCCTAATTAATTCGGCGTAAACGTTTTGACCCACTTTGCAGACTTTTTTTCTCATACTGTCAAACCATTGCAAAAATACAGCGCCCGTCCAAAATTATCTCGATGTCATTTTGACAAGTTTCATTAGTTGGACTTTATCATACGTCGTTATGCGTCATAAGCTGTATACAGTGAAATACAGCTAGTATCATGTTCCATTTGGTTTCTTGTAATAATTTTATTCCTGTATTTATTATCCACTAACCGCATATTTAGAACCAATTTTTCCGAAGCCTTTTACAATGAAATCATTAAATGTTTTAATTTTAATTTAGTTAGCAGATTGAAAGCGAGGAATCGTTGCACTACAGAGATGGACAACTTATGGCGATCAAGGCGTGTTGAAGACAATCCAAAAATAGTCTTTATTGTATGTATTTAAACGGATTGTTAACGTAATTAGTTGTTCGTTTTTATTATTTGACATTATAGATAGTTTCATCATAAACATGACAAAATTTTAACAATTTTTGCTGCAGATTTATAGCTTTATATAAAATTTTATATTATAGATATGGAAATATATATATAATTATAGTGTGAAAACCATTATTTAGCATACATATATACAAAAATGACTTTAAAAAATGATCAAGATAACGAAAGGTCTGGTACAGCGATGTCGAGATAACGAAAAGTGAAGAAAAGCGGTGTTGAGAAAACGACAGTTGATTGTACAAATAATTAACTTTTTAGAACACCCCACACTGTCAAATAACTTAATAGCGGAGGCCCACTTCACTTACGTCCTCGAATGTTCACCATGATATCAGCCATTGATCCACTATCACGCTGCCGTCTTACTTGTACCACTTTCGACTCTTTTGCAATAGTTCACTATACCTACTATTAGAAACAAAACATACTATATAAAGACCTGCTTACATTCTTATTTCTAAATCTGTTGCTTACATTGTCTGGTGATGCACATCAAAATCCTGGTCCAGTTCCTTCTAACGACTCCTCTCTGTCATCACTTTATGACTCCTCATCCCAACAAATCACCAGTTGTGGTCTTAGTCGTATGCATTTAAATATTCAAAGTGTTACGCCAAAGTTAGATATTATTGAGATTGACGCCCAACAATATCATATTCTTGTATTCACTGAAACCTGGCTGTCTCCTAATACTCATGACAAAGACCTCAGAATTGCAAATATCGTTGTGTAAAAACTGTAAAAGTGGGTGGCGGTCCATCCACTTCTTGAATATACTGATGTAGTCTGGGATAACTTAACTGACGAACTAGATAAGGAAATAGAATCCCTTCAAAATGAAGCTGCTAGAATAGTCGCAGCGCCACGAAACTGTGTAACATTTACAAACTCATCAGTGAACTCGGTAGGGAATTGTTAGAAAATAGAAGAAAAAACATAAACAAATCTTATAGTATAAAATGAAAAACCATATATCACCTTCTTATCTTTCAAATCTTTGAACTCCTAACCGACAAAGTACATATAATAAGACATATTGACGATTTAACTCCAGTTCCAACCAAAACTCATTTATACGCAAAACCATTTCTACCTTCTACAATTCTCACCTGGAATTCTCTTCCCGAAACACTTCGATCTAGTCCAACTGAAGGCCCAACATGCACATGCAGCTTGAGAGAAACTGTATCTCATTTTATTGCAATGTACCAAATGCAGAAAAATACGTCAAATTTCTCACTAATTTGAATTGTCCGGCTACAGTAAATAACCTTTATGACAACGAATATCTCTCTTTCGGTGAAAACAAAACCCTCTTTCAGAATGTCCAAATATTCATTACACAATTGAAGCGTTTTTTTGTAAGAAGTACTATGAGTGTGAGTAAACTTGGCCTTTCCGTACGCTCATATTTCTTTACATGTTAATCTTTAGTATTAAGCTTCGATATATTCAATCATATCTTTCCTTACATTCTTCCTTTCTTATAGAATTTCACCATTATTAACCTTAGTGTCTCTGTAGTGATAATTCAACAATCACTTTAAAGAGCTTAAATAAATCTAAACCGCAACATTTTTGTATCTTTATCTTGAAAATTACTTTTACTGGAAAGGAATTGATATAAGTATTGTTTGTTTTCCAATTCAGTCTGAATTACATTGTTGTGCAATGTTTTTAAATGTCATTCTATGTACAATTTAGTGAATAAATAAAGTTTAGACTAATTTTTCAGATAGGAGGCGCTATGTTGCTCTTTCAAGGTGGTGCAGTTTGCATGTATACATATTCCGGTAGTGATGAAAATTTTGAAAGGACAACATTAGTTAAGCAAGGAAAAGTGATGTGTTGTCTGGCTGTTATACAGCTAATCATAGGAATTATCAGCTTATGCATAACCATTGACTTAAGAAGTTACACGCTCCGTTTAGCGTGTGTAAGTAATTAATTTTTATTCACAACCTACTTACATTCTCATTAAAACTTAATCATCTTCCTTCGATTCTTTGTCAATTATAAATCTCAATTTCGACCATTTCTATGAAAACAATAAAACGCTTAATTCACAATAATGAATTACATGCTATCGACCTTTTTATGCATTGTGTGAATTTTTATCATTTTATTATGTAAGATATCATTGTATGTAATATGGTTTTGTGCAAGTCTTTGAAATTTTGAAACAAGAAAATGCAAAACTTAGACGAAATGAGGCAAAACATTACTAATCACTATAAACAAATACTGATTTTTTTTTCTTTTTCTATATTGCCAGTTATTTTGGAATGCATGTGTGCTATGTGTTGCGTTGATACTTTCATTTGAGATTTTTGAATACGTTGAGGTATGATTTATTTTATAGTACATTGCAATATCTTAATCTTGTCATCTAGTTTGTTATGTTAATACCTACATTATTAATTGTATCATACATGTAGTTTTTGAACAAGTATCATAGTTAAATCGTATACTAATTCATGCACAGTGCGTCCCCATTTGCTTCGCTACATAGCCAATCAAATCACTGTGAGGAGTTTGACTGTTATTATTCTCTAAACCATAATAATGCTTTACCTAAGCTTTGACGAGTATCTAAATAGGCTACAAATACTGTCAAGTTGTCAACTGAATTGAAACTGAGGGTCGTGGGTTCAAACCTCAGAATGGTCAACTTGTTATTTTGTCTTTTAACATTATTTTGTTTCATTCAGATCCCTCTTTAAAAAAGAAAAAAGTGTTAAGAATTCAGTCGCTTGTTAGCTAAATATTATTATTAGTTTCTTAACAATTATTGATAGGAAAACGTTTCAATAAGAATGGTATAAAAGATTATCTAAGTTTTCATAAGAACTTTCAAGGCCACTAGATATCAAGGTCAATGTCATTAATTAATACTTACATCATAGATCAAGTGAGGGATATTAGTTGAAACAGTATGCTCATAATTACTATATTTTGTAGGAATTGATGCCGAAAACACTGTATGTTGCACAGCTTCTTATAAACATCATCGGGGTAAGCTTCTTTTTTAATGTAACAGAACAAAATTTTTAACCTGGAAGACTGTACCGATTGGTGTATATAAAATTTCCCTTACATTGACACGTGACAATTTACATTGACCCTTGTGTCACTTTGCCAGGTACAAAGAATCACATGTCTTTTTCATTGAACCGCAGTTAACGAAGTATGTAGGAAAAAGTATACAACATGGACAAAGTAATCGTTTAATACTTATGTGTTCAAAAAAAAGACATTAACATGCACATCCAACCCATGAGCAAAGTCTGTGGTAAAACCCATACGCCATTCCGTCAGAGCAAGCAATGCAGTCAGCTAATGCATAATATGCTAATTGTTGTACAAAATCCAAGAACAATTTAGTATACAATAAACAGTTTCAAAGACAACATGGAACAAGTCCGAAGCAAAGTTTCTAAACATGAATATCATAATGTTGGACAACATTGACTTTTACAATTCATATCATTTCTACGTTAAAGTTAATGATAAATTGACGTCTTGTCCTAGAGATTTTTTTAAGCGAAAGTGGAGTTTTTAAGGAGCAAGCGGAGTGAAAGAGAAAATTTTAGAAGTGTAAGACGTTCTATTGTGACATGGTTTGTTTATGGCATAGAGTGTGTTATGTTTTTTTAGTCATCAAAATCTTCAGTGAGTGTGTAATTTAGTAACATAAACATTACTTCAACAACTTACTATGAAAAATCATTAAAGATTATTTCATTACTAGAATATAAAACAGACAATTCTTTATATCTACGTAGCTTATCGTCGTGTGTAGCTTGATATGGCTTCAATTAAATCATGGATAACCAAATATTGCTTAAATTATACCACACCAAAGTCCGTTGCAGATAATCAGTTTTGTAGGACTAGAAGATCATTTTCTAACAAGCTTAAAAGTCACCCAGTTTAACAAATGAGGAGTACTCTGGTTAATATTTACGGATTGCAACAAGGGATCAAAACAGAAGTATTATTGTTTACACAAAAGCAAAATTCCACTTGAATTTCGGAATAAAATTCTCTAAAAATAATTTAACGATATCTTAAGTAAGAGTTTTTTACGATGGCGTAGTTTTTTTATATGTTATACTTAACGGAGCAATACAATAACCTGTATCGAAAGATTATGTAGATTAAATTACAATTTACGATAAACCCGATGTCCTAATATCTATGTTATTCTTTTAAGGTGATGGTATTACAGTGGCAACACCTGAATGGCGCATTTTACCCAGACCCGGATAAAAAAGAGGAGTAAACGGGAACGTTATCTGATATAAAAGTTTAACATTTCCATTGAATTTGAATCTGGTTGCTTTATTCTCAAATAAAAGATCAACTAAAAGCCATAATAACTATGCCACTAAATTACTTATACCGGTATATTGTTGTATGCACATTACATTAATTTGATGGTATATATTTGCAGACTATTACCTATCAATATTGAAAACGTTTACAGAGACATTAATTTAGAAAAAGCAAATATACATTTTATATTATTAAATGATGTAAAAATGAATGCAATCTCATTGGTCCAAACAGTAGTCAACAGAACTTTTTATAGAATCATATTCACTGGGTGAAGTATCGTATTCACTGGCTGAATTGGATTTTCCCAGTCTAAAAATAAATTGAGACTCATATTCAATGACATATATCGTAGACTGTTAATTACGCGTGCTTATGAAATCAGATTATTGTTGGGTTTTGTTCTTCATGGTATATTTCTCGATTAAAATATCATAACTTTATTATAATAGTTAAAAGGTACACCGCAGTGATGAGTATAAACTTGAATTACTCTTGTATGCGCAACGTTCGCGTTGTTGTTGCACGGCTTACACTTGCGTCTTTTTTCACGCGCTTCAACGAAACAGGCAAAGGTTGCACATTTATAAGTTTGTCTTTTTATGATTATTTTTAATTCTTCCTATTCATATTATAAATCGCTATCGCCTCGGTCAATATGTCATCTGCCGATGAATATCACATCTTATACAATGGCACACTAGTTTATAAATGCATATCAACAAGGTGCTGAGTCGGAATTTAATTTTCAAATGGCTGTGAAATACTAGTACACTGTATTTAACAATTTAGTGTCCAAAATGGCTCGCTAAATACTAGTATTTAACATTTAAGCGATGTCCAAAATGGCTCGCTAAATACTAGTATTTAACATTTAAGCGATGTCCAAATGGCTCGCTAAATACTAGTATGTAAAATTTAAGAAGTGTCCAAATGGCTCGCTTAATACCTAAATACAAGCATTTAACATTAAAGTAATGTCCAAATGGCACGCTAAATGCTAGTATTTAACATTAAAGTAACATGAAAATGACTCGCTAAATACTAGTATTTAACATTTAAGAAATGTCCAAATGGTTCGCTAAATACCTTAATACTAATACACTGTATTTAACATTTAAGTACTGTCCCAATGGCTCGCTAAATGCTAATATTTACCGGGCCGCTTAAATGCTAATATTTACTGGGTCACACAGCCTTTCGCGTCTGTATCGCGGTTAAAATTTCGCGAATTTTTTTTGCCCGCGGTTGCCCGTGGTGGAAAATGTGCAAAATTGGCTTACCCGCTGTTTACCCGTGGTATGCCCGCGGAACAGACTCCGGCGACTGTTCCGCGTCCTTGTCGCGGGTGAAGCGCGGCGGTACCGCAGCCTACCACGGGTATAATAAAGCAGCCGATCCGGGCTGTAGAAATCATAACCGCTCAGACACAGTCCCGTGAAGATCAAGCTATGGCACCGAAGAAGAAGCCCACGTCGAGTTCCCCGACCAAGAAGAAGAAGCAGCGTGCGAGCAAGAAGCAAATCGCGCCTTTTATATACCTAAAATTAGACGTTGTACGGACGCGATTATGCCGTGGACAATCGTATTTGGGACGTGTACAAGACGCAATTGAACGTGATTAAGTCGGTATTGGGGCGCGCTATTTACGCGGAGAAAGGCGTTTGTCTGTGCTTACACGTGGTACACACGCTAATGCACGTGATAACAACGCGGTACAGATGCGGAACAAACGTGCTATGACCGTGCTCCAGCCGCGGTTACCCGCTAAAATTTCGCGTCCTACCGAGTGTAACCACGTCTTAACCGCGGCCGTAGCACGTCCTAGCACGTTCGTTTCGCGTATGTACCGCGTTGTTACCGTGTGTGTACCACGTGTACCGCCAGCGATTACCCGCGGTCTAAATTTTTGGGCAGCCCAAAACTTTTTCGCGCGGCCAACCGCGTGTGAATTTCTTACCGCGTGTAACGACGGGTAAAGTACGGCTGTATCGCGTCTTTATCGCGACCTCAAAGCGTCCAACAGCGTCTGCTTCACGGGCAGAATTTTTGGCCGTTATTCGGCCGCGATACGCCCGTGGAGGGCTGTGTGACCGGGCCTTTAAACATTGATTAAGTTTCCTAATAGGCAACTTAATCTTAAACATTGACCTTTTATTCTAATGACCGCTGAATCTTAAACACTCAAGTATTATTCTAAAAGGCAGATGAATCTTAAAAATTTTGCTACTTATATTTGTGTTAGCTACAACCTCACATTTAATCAGTACTTTTCAGTCATTTTTCATTGCTATATTGTATATATTCGGGAAATAAATATGTTCAAACTATTCTTGTACATTGACCTATTATTCAAATGTCCCTCTGAATCTTAAACGTTGAACTATTATATATCCAAGTGGCTAGCTGAATCTTAAAAATTAACATATTGTCCAAATGGCTCCCTGAATCTTAAACATTAATCTATTATCCAAAGGCTCGCAGAATCTTTAACATTGACCTATTATCCAAATGGCTCTCTGAATCATAAACATTAAACTATTAAACGAACGGCTTGCTGAATCTTAAACATTGACTTATTATCAAAATGACTCACTGAATCTTAAATTATTTTCCTATTATACAAATGGCTCGCTGAATCTTAAACATTTACCTATTATACAAATGGCTCGCTGAATCTTAAACATTTACCTATTATCCAAATGGCCCGCTGAATTCTAAATATTAACCTATTATCCGATTGGCTCGCTGACTCTTAAACATTGACCTATTATCCAAATGGCTCTCTGAATCATAAACATAAAACTATTAAACGAACGGCTTGCTGAATCTTTAACATTGACATATTATCCAAATGACTCACTGAATCTTAAACATTGGCCTATTATTCAAATGGCTCGCTGAATCTTAAACATTTACCTATTATCCAAATGGCTTGCTGAATTTTAACATCGACCTATTATCCAAATGGCTCGCTGAATTCTAAATATTAACCTATTATCCGAATGGCTCCCTGACTCTTAAACATTGACCTATTATCCAAATGGCTCGCTGAATTCTAAATATTAACCTATTATCCAAATGGCTCACTGAATCTTAAACATTGACCTATTATCCAAATGGTTCGCTAAATCTACCTATTATTCAAATGGCTCGCTGAGTCTTAAACATTGACTTTTATCCAAATGGCTCGCTGAGTCTTAAACATTGACTTTTATCCAAATGGCCCGCTGAGTCTTAAACATTGACCTATTATCCAAATGGCTCGCTGAGTCTTAAACATTGACTTTGCTGAGTCTTAAACATTAACCTTTTATTCAAATGGCTCGCTTAATCCTTAACATTGAAATATTATCCAAATGGTCCGCTGAATCTTAAACATGAACTATTATCCAAATGGCCCGCTGAATCTTATAGACAGGACTGATTTTAAGAAAATATAAATGCTAGAGGCATTTTATAGTACAAGTAATATCTTGAGTGTTTTAACCTAATATGGGTATGCTGAAGACGATGAGGGTGGATACCAAGAAAATAAAATTGACATTGACCTTCAAATTTGGTCAATTCAAAATGGCCGCTTAAAAATACTAAAATAGGTCATTAAAACTATGATACAATATGATGCAATTAATTATTCTTGTCAAAATCAAATGATTATTCAATATGATCAGATTTTAATGAGATTGGCCACCAAATATAGCGATTATAAGCCTAAGGGCTCAATAAACAGTATATACAGTACTGTTTTACTAGCGCGTTAAGGTATAAGACTAAGATTGAAAAAAAATCACTTTTAATGTTTTGTTTACTTGACTTATATTTAACAATAAACTTAGTTTATAAATATTACCAAAGAATAAATATTTCGTAATAACAAATTAATATTTCGTAATTACGAAATAATATTTCGTAATAACGAATTAATATTTCGTTATTACGAAATAATATTTCGTACTAACGAATCAATATTTCGTAATTAAGATTTTATATTTCGTTAAAAAAAAAACAAAAAAAAACAAAAAAAAACAGGTCTTAAAAAAAGGCAACAGTAGGAATCGAATCATAGACCTCTAACACATCAGTCAATCACTTAACCGGCTGTGCTACTGCGGAAGTAACGATGACGTGTACATTTTTATATGACTTTCACTAACATTAGTTTTATAGTTTTTTTTATTTTATGCTTTTCAGTGGAATACTGATTTATCCGTGAAAATTATATTTGATAATTTCACAGTGAAAATTATAAAAATATAATTTCACACTTTTCAATGACGAAACAACTTTCTTCACAACTTTTCCCCCAAGGGGTACCTTAATTTTATTTTTGCTGACAATTCTGACAATGTCAGGCTTTTTAGAGAAATTGAAAAATAACTATTTAATTTGAAATTTGAAGTTAAAGTTGAAAACAAAGTTAAAAACAACAACAACAACAATAACAACACCATATTTTCATCGAGTCATAAATGTCTGAAACTGGGAGATTGCTACGTGTGCTTGCTATACCATGGCAGCTCTCGAAAATTTTGGAATTCAATCTCGGTTTTGAGAAAATTCTACAAGAAGATTATCGCATATCATTCGATACACATTAGAATTCCGGGTACCCTCCAATAAATTTTCAGGATATCTTAAAGTAACAGCAAACTTATCTATAAAAATTATTATTTGTTATAAATCGAGTAATATTTTCTTTGACCATATATAAGAGTCACGTGGGTTGACTACATAGTAGAGGTGTTAAAATATAATTGTAATACACTCTTTGTTAGCCATTGAAATAGTATTTAATGTATAAAGGATTTTCAAAAATGGTTATTATTCAGAGCGGGCGCTATGGTGCAGTGGTAACACTGTCTGCCTACAAATCAAGGGGTCATGAGTTCGATCCTCCGCTACTCCACTGAACGAATAAAATGACTACAAGACTGACAAAACCAGGACATGGACACAGAATGACGGCAACGATAGAAACAAGAGAATACCTTAACGGAACAGGAAACAAGATCCGAAAGTACAAGACCGAAGACAACGACCGATAACAGAAGGAAGAACGGAGACAAGAACTGACAACAAGCGAACAGAGACGAGAACCGCTAACAGAAGAACAGAGACAGGCACCGATAACAAAAGAACTGACAACAAGCAAACAGAGACGAGAACCGCTAACAGAATAACAGGACAGGGACCGATAACAGAAGAACTGACAATAAGCGAACAGAGAGGTCGACCGATAACAGAAAAACAGAAACAGGGAGCGATAACAGAAGAAAAGAACTGACAACAAGACAACGGAGACGAGGATTGATAGCCGAATAACATAGACGACGACTGATGAGATGGGACCCGATGACAGAAGAATTGACAACAACAACACTGATTACAGAAGAATAGAGACGTGGACCAATAACAGAAGAACGGAGAAGAACGAAGACGTGAACCGATAACAGTAGAACGAAGACGATGACCGATAACAGAAAAACAGAGACGAGAACCGTTAACAGAACATCTAACAACAAAAGAACTGAGACCAGAACCGACCGTTTACAGAAGAACGAAGTTCACGATCAATAACTTAAGAACTGACAACAAGAAACTGCGACCAGTACCAATAACAGAAGGGCGAAGACGATGGCCGATAACAGAAAAAAACAGAGACGAGAACCGATAACAGAACATCTAACAACAAAAGAATTGAGACCAGGACCTATTGCAGAAGAACGAAGGTCACGACCAATAACAGAAGAACTGAGAACAAGAGAACTGTGACGGGAACCGATAACAGAAGATCTGACAGCAAGAGAACTGCGACGAGGACCAATAACAGAAGAACGAAGTTCACGACTAATAACAGAAGGACTGACAACAAGAAACTGCGACGAGTACCAATAACAGAAGAACGAAGACGATGACCGATTACAGAAAAACTCAGAGAAAGGTGCCTTTAAAAGCAGTGTAATATAAGTAGGGCAGGAAAGAGTGTGGTACTATCTTTAGTATTACTTCTATATTACTATGATATTGGCCTATAGAAAAATGTCTGCCATCTTGGATTTTTCGGCCCTATTGGATTGTTTGTTTTTTTAAATTCTGTTTTGGTGTCTAATTTGTTTTTACCTAAACATGCTTTGTGACAAATTCCAGGCTTTTCCTTTCCT